GTCCTGGAACCCTTACGACCTGGGGACTCTTGGAAAACAACCAAAGGTATTTTTGCATTGTGAGGTAGGCATGAGCTTTGGGGGACTAGGAGCGAAATGTTATGGTTTAGATATTAGGTGTTCCCGAAAGCTCACGTATGAGACATTGCACGAAGATTTAGAGGTGAAGTGATCGGCTTTTGGGGTTCTGAGAGCCTGAACCTAATCAGTGCGTTAATCCCCTGATGCGGATTAACTGGGTGGTAACTGGACAGCAAGGGTGTGGCTGGAGGGGGTGGGTCCCTGGGGGGCTGCCTTTGGGGTATGTATTTTGTCCTTGTTGACTAGAACTCTGCTTCCTGGTGCCATGTTCCCTTTTGCCACACTCTTCTTCCATGATGTTCTGCCTCACCTCAAGCCCCAAGGCCTGGAGTCGGCCATCTGTGGACCAAGACTTCCGAAACTGTGAGCCCCAAGTCAACTTCTCCTCCTCTATATTGTTCTTGTCAGGTTTTTTGGTCACAGAAGTGAAAAAGTTGACTAGAACAATAKCTATTTCACATCTTTACAGTTTTTTCTGATAACTTTAAAATACTAACTTCAAATAGAGCAAACACTATGTTGCATATTTTAAATAAGTGGTCTTAATTCAAAGCACTTTTGCTTTATTTTATTATTCTCATATTCCTGAAAAGTTGGACAGTGGTATTATCTCTGAATGATAGATTGATGGACAGGGGTGCGAAGGAACTAGTACCAGACCCCTTATTCTGTTCAGGCCCTATGATGCCGGGAGGTGACAGGATCTATCCAACTTATTCCCCGCCCTCCGGTGAACAGTAGAACACAGGGAAAGAGAAGAAGGAAGATCAGGCAGGTCAGCTTCTAGGAACTACTTGTGAACAGCAATCTGGTGGAAACACTGCAGGGTAAGAGGAGGCGATTCCAAGAGCCCTACCCAGCAACTGCCAGAAAACTTCACAGAATGGTTTCCCARACGGTCCCTCCAAGGCCAGCCAGGTGCTCAGAGGCCTTTCCACCCCTACTGCTGCACCCCACTAGAGACAATTTCTGTTTCCTTTGCCTTTTCATCTTTTATTTCATTCTCATCAAGGTCATAGATATTTATGGGCAAAGATTGAACAGAAGAACTCTTCTTATAGTCTCTTATTTTTCCAGAAAGTTTCTWCATCTGTGAAATTACACATATAATCTTTAAAAACACATAGGGAGTGTATGCTTTCTACTGTTCTGCAACCTGCTCTTGTTTAACATAGTATATTTGGGACATCTTTTCATACCAGCACATATTGCTTGTTCTCCTCACTCCCTTTTCAAGGCTGCATGGTATTCCATTGCATAAACCGGCTATATTTAACTGACATCTCCTCAACCAAGGTGCCTTTTTTTTTTTGACCAACAAACAATGCTATAATAAACACGTTCATCCATGTGTCTCTGAACACTTTTATCAGTGTATTCAGATTAGCAATTCAAAACAAAATTGTGTGATCAAAATATGCCTTTAAAAAGTCTTGATTACAGCAGCTCTGGAGGCTGAGACCAGAGGATCAAGAGTTTAAAGCCAACCTCAGCAACGGTGAGGTGCTAGGCAACTCAGTGAAAGCCTGTCTGTAAATAAAATCCAAAATAGAGCTGGGGATGTGGCTCAGTGGTTGAGTGCCCCTGAGTTCAATCYCTGATATCTCCCCAAAAGTCTTACAGATACCTCCATGTTGTCTTCTGAAAAGACTGCATTGATTCACACACCTGCTGACAATGGGTGAGAGCCTACTGTGTCACAGCAATGGAGAAAACGATGGGTTTTTTTTAAAAAAGAATGACGATTACATGGACATTCAAAAATAATACGTTCCAAAAGCAAACCAAGAAACAAACAAACAGATGCACCCATTCCAAACTCATTAGCTTAGTCCATGACATGTGAAAAGTAGATCCAGACACTTGGGCTACCAGCTAAGCTTCTGGCACCTTTTGATTGACGGAGAATACTAGCCACACGGATGGTCAGAGCCGCTGTTCTGCCGCCCTGACTGTGGTGCTAGGCTAACCCAGCTGCTTTCCTATCACCACACTCTCCCTCCTCCTCACCCCTCTGGAGTGTTTCATTGTTTTATAGAAGAAACCTGAGGCTCAGAGAGGCGAGGCTACCTTCCAGGGGATGGACATGGTGCCTGGTGGGCTGAGGACTGAGCACGGGGCGGCCGGGGCGCTGCTCAGGCCCTGAACCACTCCTCTTGGATGACCCCCTGCCCCRCGTCCTCCCCAGCGAGCTCTGTGGCCTCTCCTCTTCCACAACACCCACCGTCGTGGAGCGCGGCTGGGCACGAGGAGCTAGAGCATTTGTCTGCAGAAGGTGAAAGATTGTGCCTTCAGAGCTTCCCAGCTCGGGGGGAAGCTCCAGCCCAGATTTAAAATGACCAGAGGGACACCTCCTGTGTTAAAGGCAAACTGAAGCAGGCTCAGGACAGCTACGCGGTGCCACCATTGACATGGCAAGGGCTCCAACATCCCATGCCATGGCTCCTGCCTGCCCCAAATAGGGGGCTTTTTTTTTTTTTTTTTTTTTTCTGAGAACCTCGCTGGTGCCCAAAGCCACAAAGGCCTTTTCTGCATCTAAGATCTGGCCCCTGACTCGGGCACAAAATGTGTTTATGGGGCCATGTGGAAGACCCTGTCCTGAAAACAAGTTGGTCATTGCTTTCTTAGAGGACCATTGGGGACACGGACTGCAGTTTGTCATGARTCAGAGGGAAGTCATGCTCATCCAGAATTCTCTTTCCCCTTCTTGTTTTAGGTCGGGGTGGGACAACACCCAATCCAAGCCTCTCTCCTCCTAACCACTGTCCTCCACCAACAGAGGACAAACAAGACTCACGTCCACAGAAACCAAGGTTCCATCCATTTTGTCTGGGCTTAGCCAACCTGAAGGCACAGCGTTCCAGAAAGCCATGCATATGTGACCCTGGGTCAGCTGAGACCAAAAAGTGGGCAGGAAGCACAGCTCCCTCCTTCCCGGGACCCCTACCCGGGTGCCCCTTTGCTCCGATCTTCCCCAATTCACAGTGTGACTCTGTCAGCCACCTGCCCAGTCTCAGGGAACTGAAGAACAAGGGCCAGCACATGCAAATGTCCGCAGAGGCTGACGGGCAGGGGAGCAGCCAGCAGGGGGGAGACTGGGGCAAACTAGTTCAAGTCCGGCCAGGAGAGGAGGAGGGAGAACAGGGCCAAGACGATGATCACCAGAGCTTACAGGTTTTCAAGTGAATCAGGGCAGCCAGTGTAGACCTGTAGGACTGGACTCCTGCCTGCTCTGGGCCTCAGAGGCCCCTCGCTGCCCACCTCTGACTGCACCGGGGCCATGCCCTCCCAGATCCCACAGTCCCCATTCTAGAACCACGCCAGCACCCTGCAGTCCCTGCCCAATGGCCCTTAGAGAGGCCCAGGTCTGCACGCCCTCTCCTGCAGAGCTGCCAGATAAATACAGAATGTCCAGTTAAATTTGAATCTTTTAAAAATATAACTATGCCCCCAGTGCTCTGTTACTTGTTTATATGAAATTCAAATATAACTTGGCATCTTGTGTTTTTATTTGCTAAATCAGGCAACCCTGACCCCCAGGTCTGTCTTCCTAGGACAGGATCCCTGTATGGCAGCTGGGTGACTATTGCAGAAAAAGAAGCAGACACAGCACTGCACTGGCCACATAAATGCAGGCTAGGGCTGAGGACGGGTTGAAAGAGAGGGGCGAGCTGTGGGCTAGGGGCTTCTGGCTGTTCTGTTTTACTAGAAACATCAGGGACGGGACTCAAATGGGTAATGAAATCTGCAAGCACAGCCTCCCAGGTTTCAAATATTAGATGCACTTCCAAGTTCCTTTAAAATACCATCAGACCAAACAGTCCCGTGGGCCTTTCCCCTGGTAGGAGGAAACCCTCCATCATTGCTCATGGCTCTGTTCCTACTCTGCATATTATACACTTCAACACAGCCAGATTGTGTGAGGAGCCCCAATCCCAGGGGCGAGAGTACAGGTGAGCTCGGTCTCAGCTGACCCAGGGTCACATATGCATGTACCAGGGAGACGGATAGCTGTGCCAGGCTCCCTGGGGAGGGGGGCACTGCTCTGACCTGGCACCATCAGCAGTGGTATTAATCTCTGTAGGAAGAAGAAGAAAGCCCAGGGCAGTGGTGAATATCTATAATCCCAGGGGCTTGAGAGGCTGAGGCAGGAGGATCGCGAGTTCAAAGCCAGCCTCAGCCACTTAGCGAGGCCCTGAGCAACTCGGTRAGATAAATAAAATATAAAAACGACTGGGGAGAGGCTCAGTGGTTAAGCGCCCCTGGGTTCAATCCCCAGGACTAAAAACCAAACAAAGAAAGAGGAAGGAAATTGACACAAGTGGTCAAATGAGCTGAGGTCCTAGGATTGGAACACAAAGGAGAGAGTTCCTTTTACTCCAGATTCTTCATTTTGCAGGAGGTGGAGGGAGTTGTGCAACGGGAGTTCATGACGGCTCAAGCCATCCTGAACGCCCACCCTGCGCGCCCATCATATGGCTCCTTCCCCACCATCCGGGGACAACAGCAAACTTGCTTAGAAATTATGCTTCAAAAAGAAAAGTAAGGATGGAAGAAAARGAGAAAGGAAGGAAGGGAGGGAGGGAGGAGGGGAAAGAAAAGCAGCAGGGATGGGTGGGAGAAGAAAAAAGAAAAGCCCCTCACCCCCCCAGGCTTCTCTACTTTGGGAAAGTGGAAACCAAACCCCTCCAAAGCATGAACGCACCCTCAACGCCAGGAGGGCAGCAGCAGCCTGCGGACTCCAGTCCTGTGGCCCTTTTCTTTGCTCCGGGGCTGAAGGTGGCCCCCAGGGCTCTCCAAGAGCCCCACRCCCCTCGGCCAACTCAAGCAGCCACCTCCGGGTTCTCCCCCGTTCACCTGTCCCCCAGCCTCCAAAGGCCACGACAGAGGCCGGCAGGAGGTCGAGGGGGGACACTGACCTGAACTGGGTGGAAGATGGCCTGCAGGGTGGGCAGGGTCTCCGTGAAGAAGTGGTCCCAGACGTCAGCCAGAGCCTTCACGAGGTCCTCACCTGCACCGGGGCGAGAGGACGGGAGGGGAGAGGGGAGGGAGAGCTCGGGTTAGTCCCAGCAGAGGCCAGAGACAGGCCCACCTCCGAGGTGAAGTCCTACGTGATGGACAACTTGCAGCCGGGGCTGTTGGGACCCGGAGGCCAGAGCTGTGGGGCTGCAGGGTCTGGGTCCCTGGCCTAGGAGGGGGAGCCTCGTGGAAGGTCATGGTCAGGTCAGGCAAGCTCTGCCCTTGGAAGGGATTCAGGCTGGCAGTGCAGACTTGGTTCTCTTCAGAGTGGATTATGGCAAGAGTGAGTCAGACACCTGAAGCCTGCCCTCCTGTCTTGGCTGGTGATCTCTTCTGCTGTTGTGATGCCACCCACCAGAAAGGCCTTACCACAGGCTGAACCAACGGGGACACCAGATTTTGTGTTTCCAGCCTCTGAAACAGTGAGGTAAATAACCTTTTTTCATTATAAAGTACCCAATCCTGGACATTYTGTCRTAGCAATGGAAAATGGATTGATACTGGTGGGAAGACTCAACTCAAACTATGTAAACATGACTTTCTATCCCTGGATTCAAAATAGGTGGCTGAAAATTTAAAATCACMTAATAATTGCTATCATCATGTGAATGGTTACATTATCAGACTGTGTGTTAAGTGGCTTATTAACAAGCTACCTCATGAATAGACTCTGTTACCCCCGTTTCACAGGTTCAGAGAGGCCAAGTACCCTGTGTAAAGTCACACAGCTTGAAGGCAGAGCTATAACTCCAGAAGCCATGCTCTTTACCACCCTAACCTGGGAAATCACATGTACAGCCACATATTGTTTTGTTTTCTTAGTCACCAACACACTGGCCTTATTCTGGGATTGAGCTGTCCAGTTGAGAGAGGTGGAAAGAGGATTCTGGGAACTGTCAGCCCCGCCCCCGGCTTCACAGTAAGTGAGAGGGCAGCATGTTCTCAGAGGTCACCTGGGAAACACGGGCCCCTCTCCTGATTCTGTGCCTACTCACCCCGGRCCAGGCGGCCTAGGCTATGGCGGAGTGCCACCTGCAGGCTGGGGCCCACATGTCACCTGATGCCACGGGGTGGRGACGGAGAGGAATTTGCACCTGGGGAGAGGCAGGCGCTGGCAGAAGCAGCCGGCTTGGCAGTGGCTGCAGATGACCTAGATATCAGAGCTGCCTGGGCACTGTCTGCTGGTCCCCGCAGAGAAACTGGGTCAGCCAAGACCAGACGCCGTTTGGCAAAACCCCGCTCCTTTCACGGGGCAAGTCCTGAAAGGCCGACTGAGCCTCCCGCGTCTTAGTTTAATGGACAATACAAGCCGTCGCTGTGGAGAAGGAAGGGAGCGGGGCCRAGGGGTGGCTCAGGGGCCCAGAGACTGCAGACCTTGAGGTCAGGTGACACCCGGTGGGGGAGGGGCAGCCAGGCGCCTCCACTCCCTGGAGGACACGGGATCCTCACTTTGTAGGAGCCGCTTGTCACTCCCCGTCCCCTCCCCTAGAGCTGGCAGGCCACACTGTACTGCTGTACCTACAGTGTGGGGCACAGTGCCAGATACACAAACAAATCTATTCTAGAAACCTTCTAGGGACGGAGTGGCGAGTGCTAGTGTGAAGGTCTGTGCAGGTGCTTGGCCCCATGAGTGGAAGGAGGGACCATCTAGCCCAAATATGAGGCAGTCCCGAGAGGGACTTAATCACAAGCAGAAATAAAATGCTCTTAGGATAAAGAAAATGTCTACGTGTGGCCTACTCTCTGTGTCTTCATCCTCTGGAATATCTGCCTTAGCCTTTGGGCTCTTTGTGGATTTTATCTTAGCCGTTYACTGTCACCGTGCTTCCTCATGCCACAGGGCCTTTGCACATGCCAGTTTCTCTTGCTTCACCTACTTCTGTTTATCTTTCTGTTTCAAGTGAAATTTTACTTCTACAGAAAACTCTTTCCCCATGGTTCCAATCCCTCTACGATGGATTGCCTTCACAGTACTATCTAGTCACAATTCTCTATTTGGTGACGACTTGATTAATACCTGTCTCCACTACCTGTCTATGAGCTCCATGGGAGTCCATGATGGTTTCATTCATCACAGTGTCCACAGCACCTAGCAAAGAACCCGGTATCTACTAAGTCATCAATAAATGTCTGATTGACTCAAATACCACCCTCTTTCAAATGTAGGTTGGGCTCATTCACCTCAGGAGGAGGCAGGAAGTCAAAAGAGCCTTATAAATGCTAGGTCATCACTACTCCTAAAACTAAGGTGAACTCCAGCACCTAAAGAGTGTACCCCAAAGGGCAAGAGGCTCCTCCGTTGATGGGCCTTGTCTTGAGCCCTCCACAACAGACACGCTCCTGACTTTGGAAGGGCAGGAGCAGACCCTGGGGCCCAGCTGTGCCTGCTTCAGTGCCAGGCACGTGAGGGGAGCCTTGAGCCTACCGGGGAAGTGGGCCAGGGAGTAGCAAGCAGCTCCCTAGCTGCTGGCTGCAAACTTCAGAGAATAATGAAGGTTTAGGAAAGCGTTCAAAAGACACCAGCAGATGGACACGGGCCAACAGGACAGGAAGGCCCTGGGGAAGAAAGAGTTAAAGGAAACAGGTGACTGAGGGAAAAGACCCAGGAGCCAAGGACCTAGCTCCCTGCAAAGGGGAAGTGGGTTTGCAGTGGAAGGTTCTAAGTGGCTCCTCTAATGTACCACCAGAGCTGAGATCCCAGAAGATTATAGGAAGGTAGAAGAAGCTTCCTGAGGTCAAGGTCACTGAAGCTCTAGAAAAGATCACCGAGAACACCTGTCTCCTGCCACAAAAGTGCCACCAATGGACACGGAGGGACACCTGTCCTTTCTGCAGCCATCCAGCAGGGGTGTGCAATAAAGTAAGGTTCATGGGGCAACCGGAGAGATCATATTTGTTTTTCCCAAACTTCGCTGGATAGCCAGAGAATTCTTTTMTCCAGACAAAATCTTTCTTGGGGTTCTAATGCATAAAAGTAGAGATGTCCTAGTTGGAGATGGGAAAGACCCTTGAAGTTCCCAGGAGCCCATTCCTTGTGCAGAGAGGCCCCGGCACCAGAACCTGGAACTAAAGGAGACCCCCAGGGACACCCTCGCCGGTGCACTCTGGCTACGCCTTGGGGCGCAGGCCAGGATMCAGGATGATCTCTTCACTCTGCCTYGCTCCATTTCTGGATTTTGGTTCTACATTGAGGACAACCTGGACGAGAGACGTCAACTTCCTGTCAAGGGCATGTGAACAGTCCAAGTATTCTGAGTCCCTCTTTCATATGGCTGGTTCCCTGCATTTCCAAGAGCTTGGAGTAACTCCCTCAGGAACTGACAGATGAGGAATGTGGCCAGGGACCATGCTTCTTGTCCCCCCCTTGACTGCCTCCTCTACCTATGCACTCGTGAGACTCCAAGATGCACAACCGCACGGAGTTCATGGTCAGAGCCACCTCAAAGTCTAGCCTCCACTGATGGGTGAACGGGTAAAGGAAGCACAGTGTAGCTACGCTGGAGTATTATTTGGACTTTAAAAAAATAGAAGAAAAAAGGGATAATATGATGCCTCTTGAGTCTGGGTCCAGAAACCAGCTTGACTGTAAGTCAAGATCAAGGTCATTAGGCTAGAGCAGGGGGAATAAAAAGCCCCAGTATGCATCCTACTATGCGCCACATACAGTGCTRCACCAGTTATGGGCCTTCTACTCCCTGCAAGACCTCAACCATGTATCATCGCTTTAAATAGGATAAAAACAAACTCGCAGAACCTGGCAACTTGTCAAGTCGCCCAAGAAGTCAGAGCTCAGATCATGCTCCGGGTCGGGGGAGCCCAGGCATAGGGTCAGCCTTCCCTGACTCTCATACCAGCTCCATCCCGTTCCTCTCCACCTTGTCCGTTGGCTTCTAAAATCAGCATAGACCAGGAAATTCCTTTATCTATCAAATCCTCCCCATTGAGTGTGMGCCTGCTTATCCTAATGTCCTCCAAATAAGGGGGACACTGCTGTCTACCAGGATCCAAAGAAATATTACAAAGGCCAACAGGAAACAGCCAGAGGCAGAGCCAAGGGACTAGCATGGCGGAATCCACAGCAGCCCTTCCAGGAGACCATCAGGATGCGCCCCCTGAAATCCCTTAACAAGGTCTCCAGAGCAGCCACCCGTGTCCCCTCGCTCTTCAAAACACCTTCTGATTGCACTGCCTGAGCGTCTGACTCAGACCCAAGTGCCACAGCAGAGCCGAGGGACAGGGTGACTCACTCGCGTGCAGCCTGCCCCTTTTGGACAGAAGCGTCTCAGCTGTCCCAACATCAAAGGCTGAGTCACAGGGGCCCCATCCACCAGGGCCGCCTTGTACTTGCCTTCGCACAGCTTGATCTTCTCCTCCACAAACGACAGTCCCTTTGCAAGCAGCTGGTTCTGCCAAAAGAGAACAAAGGACACAAGAATTGGCGACTCTGGAGCAACCAGCAACCAGCCCTCCTCCACCTCCAACAGAGGCCTGGCCCTGCCTGAGCGCAAGTCCTGCCTTCAAGGCCAAGGAGGCTTTTGTCCTCTTGGAAGGCCGAGGCCTGGGAGAACCAGGAGACACCCCAGAGCCAGAGCAGTGAGCAAGCGAGCAAGGGAGCCTGAGCCGAAGGCAGCCGCCACCCCCCACCTTGGGAAGAGATCCGGCACAGCCTCTGCTGAATTCACTACTGCTGCCACCCCATGTCCTGAGATCCCGATGATCTAAACTCACAAAAGGGAGCTTTGAGGCGATGGGAAAATATGCAGAAATAGGCGTTTAAAAAAGATAAATTGAGAGTGTGTCACACTAGCACAAAAGAGATCGCATGCAAAATCCTGAGCAGCAGCAAGTGGGGGTCCGTGAGTGCCCCAGGGCCTGGGGAAGCTGTGGACAGATAGCCAAGTCCTCCYGCCATGGCAGCTGGCCATGGGCAAAGGTCCTGCATTGATCCCAGGCTCTTTCAAGTCATTTCATTCCATCCTATGAGGCTGAATGAGTGAACTACTAGCCTCACCTACTGGTGGTCAGCGAGCCGGGCACACAGGACACGAGGGACCTTCCTGCTTCTGGGAGCTAGGCTCTTCCTACTCTGCTTCTCCGTGTTCCAGCACGTCTTCCCACCCAGACCCCCTCCTACCCTCCCAGGGCTACAGCTRGTCCCTCTGTGAGTCACAGAAGCTCAAGGATCAGTGAGAGCTGGTGCCTCTCCACTCACCTCTCCTTAGATTACTGGAGGCCTGTTCTTGTGGGGAGGTGAACAACGAGGGCATGCATGCTTACGAAAAAAACAGTGTAGTCTTTAACACTGGCCTTTACAAAACCCTAAGGCCCTCTCACAACAGTGATGAGAACATAGCACAGTGGAAAGAGCCTRGGTACCAGAAAGTTCAAGTTTCAGCTCCAACTACTTCCCCCCCACACACACTTACTGTATTACTGTATTCTGGTTTTAATTTGTATTTTGGGGGGAGGGTACCAGGGATTGAACTCAGGGGCACTCGACCACTGAGCCACATCCCCAGCCCTATTTTGTATTTTATTTGGATGCTGAGAGCCATTGCCAAGTAGGAATGACGCATCGAAATTTCTTTGCCAGCCTACCCCATGTTGCTTAGAGGAAGGACTCGTGGAAATGGACTTGCCTTGGACATTTGCAGTGACACTGCATGTATGTTTGAGAAAGGTGACCCTGCTCAAGGACCAGGGTGGATCCGGGTTTAAGGAGGATCCTACTGGATTAGGGCGGATCCAGGTTTAGGGTGTATCCTGCTGGGAATAGGGAGTATCCCGCTCCTTGGGTTTAGGATGGTTCCAGGTTTAAGGTGTACCCTGCTGGGAATAGGGCGTATCCTGCTGCCTCAGGCACGCCCGCTCCCAGAGTATTTGGGATTCAGAACGTGGATTTTGGCCAGAATGTGGATTTCCTCAGAATGTGTGTGTAGAGTGTCTGTGTGAGTTCRGGAATAAAGAATTGCTGTTTGAATCTACAAGGCTGTGAGTGGCTCGTGATTTTGTGCCCAGCCAGACTGCGGCATTTGGTGGCCTGTACGAGGAACGTCTGAAACTTGGAGGTAAGTGAAATTGCTGGCCCCTGAGGGAAGGCGAGAGAATGGGTGACCATTTCAAAAAACAATGTGTTCTTGTTTTGATTTATTTTGTTTTTGTTTCAAGCTGCCTATCCCTAGAAATTTCTCAGGCAAACT